CTCAACCTCTGGCCAGCAGCAGAGTTAAAACCAAGACAGAGTCAGCGCGGCGGCGGGAGGAGCCTTTCCTCTCTTCGCGAGCCTGGGCTGGGGAGGGACAAAAAGACGCAAAAAAGGATGAGTGGGCGCAGGCGGTACGGGTGCCTGCTTCTCAGCGCCTCTGCACCCACTCATCCTTATCCCAGCCTAGAACCTTGAATCGGCACAGGACCCTACAGAGAGCAAGGCTAGAGAGGCAGAAAGCACGCCGCCCCCCGCAGCAGGAAGCGAAGAAACATTGCTTTGCTTCTCTTTGCGAGCCTGGGCAGGGGGGAGGACAAAAGCAGCACAGAAGGAGGGTGAGTGGGCGCAGGCGGAACGGGTGCCTGCTTCTCAGCGCCTCTGTACCCACTCACCCTCAGCCTACTAGTCCCTGGCGCGCAACCATAAGACATTTCGACTGTCCGACTGTCCGACTGTAGAGAGAAAGCACAGACATAGAGGCGTGCACAGCTATCCCCGCGCGGCGGGCAGGCAAGAGTCTTCTCTTTGCGAGCCTGGCCAGGGGAGGAATGATAAAAGCACAGACGGGATAAGTGGGCGCAGGCGGAACGGGTGCCTGCTTCTTAGCGCCTCTGCACCCACTTATCCCCAGCCCACCCTACTTCCTGGAAGCTGTCCTCTGTAGCGGCCAGGAAAGGGAGAACTGCAGAACAACACTTCTGGCGGCTGGTGTCGGGGATCCGAGTAGTCCTGCCAGCATCAGACAGACGAGACAGACCAGATATCCCTAGGCGCGCCCGTGCGGCTCGGCGGGCAGCACACACGCCAGAACCGTTACATCCACCCCACCTCCGAAGTATACACGAGAAATCTACGGGGCCTCTGAAAGCCACGCAGGATCAAACAATGCCTGAAAATTAAAGACATCGTGAGGGGCAGGAAAGGCATATATAACGTTGACATTGTCAACCGCAGTGACCTCACCGACTGGTTGATCAGCGCGGGGGTCACGACCATCACACATGCGTCGAAGCCGTGAGATGGTGCCAGAGGCCCGAGGGGGCCCAGTGCATGATTTAGTTAAATCAACTGCTTTCTTGCACGAGTAGCGGCCGCATCGTCGACAAAATATGATATTATTCAGCCGCCTGAGCACGTGCCCACCGCCAGTGGGAGAAGAGCACTGTGAACGCAATAAATAGCTCTTGGAAACTGAACTAGCCCAACAATTCAAGCATCGAAACCGACCCGCCGAAGGGTCCCAGAAGTGCTCATGCAAGGCCCCAGAGGAGGCACCAGAGAGGACTAGGGATGGGGCCGTGGGGGCGGGGGACTCGTCAGAATCTGCCACCCAAACCTTTTTGGGCACGTTCTTGAAAATCCACGCTATATAATGCCCGATATACACACCAAGATTGCGCACAAGCAAACCAGAGCGCTTGGCACGGTCGTGCAGGACCGTGTCCAGTGTGTGTAGGTCAGCACCTAGGTTAGCAAGTCTCTCCGCTTGCTTATTACCCGCAGAGGTAGAATGGCCACGAACCTTGGTGACCTTAATTAGGTGATACCCGATATCTGAAGCCGCACGGTGGACACGGACCCACGAGGATGCGTGAGTGGCCCATCCGTGCGTGGTAGCTTCATACCCCAATGCCCAACCGTCCACGACGTACTGGGCATCAGTGACAAACTCATAGCAGTCAGAGGGGGCAGCATGGGTTAGGTAAAATAAAAACGCATAAAGCTCAGCCCCTGAGACATCCTGGGTGAGAAAGGGATATACGCCATACGCACCAGCATTAAGCCGAAGCCGATCATTGGCGATGGCCTCACCGAAAACATTGCGACTACGCGGGGCAAATGAGCATACACCCCATCCACAACGGAGAGTGAGCGGCGAGGGACCATGCTTTCCCGAGCCGTCTCCATACGCAGGCGACGAGAAGAAGGGGCCGTCTGTGGCTCCTTCCCAGACAGAGTCTGGAAAAGGTGGTGCAAGCAGGGAGCAATAGCGCGGGTCGGGAACCAAGGCAATGGTCCAGACAGGGTTCTCGCGGCACTGCTCTATGCAACGGGTGAGGGCTGGAGTCGGGCCGAACCAACGACGAAACTCCACAAGCCCATCACACTCATACAGGGTGTGAAACACGGGGTCCGAGGGGACGACCTGGCAAATGGGGCACACAGGTTTAAAGTATATGCCGCCAGATATAAAAGTCCTCAAAGCACGTTGCTGGAGGACACCCCATCCTTCAGTCTTCTCCGACAAAAGGGGAAGAAGAGGGGGAAGAAAAGGGGGTCCAGACAGGTGACCGAAGGATGGGTGACGCTCAGAGGCCTGTTTCCAAGACCAGACAGACGCGTCGCGAATCACTAGTGCCACCACTTCACGAGGGGAAGTAAACGAAATATCAACGTTGGTTCCAAGAGAAGTTCGCCATATTGTGGGCGAAACCGCAGACCACCCAATTCTACGCATAGCGGCAACCAAAATCTGTCCTGGGCCCTGCAATTCAGTCCACGGGGCATCTGGCGTCACCTTGGCGCAGGCAAACTGGAAAACTTGGTCTATCATTCCGACAGGAAGAAGAGAGTCCCATCTAGAGACAGTCCAGAGACGAATAACCCCAGCATGTGCATCGATAGCAGGATCGGTAACACCATGCAACGCCAAATCCATCGTGGCAGACCTACGCTTACCTGTGCCGAGACCAGCGTGGTATATAGCACGGACCTGACGAATCTGGTGAGTAGATAGACCGACGACGTCAATGCCGTACATGACAGTGGGCCGCAAGTTAGCGTTTACAATCCCTGCAACCTTTGCACCAGCCTTCTTTATCTTCAATAGGCGTCGGGCCTTAAACCTGGCCTTTTTTTCAATCGGCCAGTAAGAACAGGACGAGAACGACGCCCCTGACGTAACTGATAGTCAATCCCGAGGTTTCGACACGAGAACTTGACTGCACCAGCGAGACGTGGAGTTCCAGCTGCAATGCTCTGAGCCAACTGGGGGTCAGTAGCCAAGAGCACGATTTTCTTCTCGGAGAGCGGTAAACATGCCGAGAAAGTAAGCTTGCTCATCAAAAGGTGCGACGCATCGGGACCGAGTTTGAGCAACTCCCTCTCCGAGCCTATCCCCAGGGCCTGGACGTCGTCGGCGACGAGGCCAAGGTGCATATTTTGATACGACTGACGAAACGAATCCAACTCGGGCATCAATAACATACGCATAAACAGGTCGGCAAAAGAGCAACCTGCTACAATAGTCTTGCTAGCTCTGACCCACTCCCCAACAATTCGCCGCAACGTGACAACACGTGGGGAACGATACAGAGACAGGAAAACCCTCAAGAGTGCTGGATGAAACCCAAACTCACTAGCACGTCTTATGAGAAGTTTGTGGCGAACCTGTTCAAATGCCTTCTGGATGTCGAGCAAGAGTGCAAACACAGACAAACCTTTGGCAGATGCTAACTCCGTGAGCACGCCCATGCGCCACACACATGCTTGGCAGGAATGACCGCGCACACCATACACGCACGGACGAGGATGCAATCGCGCCCACATAGCACCATACGTGTGCCTGAAGAACCGAGAGAACGTGCGCACACACGTCGTGAACAGGGCAACCGTACGCTCGCCACCATCAGCCTTCGGGATCAAGTTCATGATGAAAACAGCGAGAATGGGAGGAAATCTACCCAATCGCAGAACAGCACGCCAGATACCAAACAGGGCAAGGAGAGACGAGTCGGAGAGCAGCGCATGGTGACGTGGATGCATAGAGTCCAATCCCACCGACGTACGAGCTTTGTACCTGCGACACATCTGTCTGTACTTGTCCAGGGACGGGTGAGGCAAGGATGCAAGGCAGTCGGGCGGCAACGGCGGGAAATCCAGGGCTCGGCAAGGATCGTCAGGGTGCTCCTGCATGGGCTCCCAGATAGCATGCCAAGCTACTTCTCGCGCCTTAAGATGATGCTGAGGCGTACCGACTGGGGCATCTGGGTCCGGGGTGGTCTTGTCAAAGGAAGCCCAATCCATAGATCCCTTGACGAATCGGTGCGCAGCAGAACCCCCTTCCTGGACAGATCGAATGGCGCATGATGTCCAGGATTGGTACCTCTGCGCCGATGCTGCACGTTCCAGAGCAGATGCGGACTCAGCCAAGACGCCCCGCAGCCAATCTATGGAACCAAGATCTAGGGTATCAAGCCTGTTGGCATAATACCTCCACCACGACCAATCGGGGGGAGGACCACCATCACGCTGCGAAGGACGATATCGGCGCAGGGCTTGGCAGGCTCTCCGATATTGCAATTCAGGGGGGGAGAGGGGGCGCCCCCATGGTTCGAACCCACCCCCTCCTCTTGAAAGAGGGGGCTGCCCCCCTGGGTTCGACCCTCCCCTACAATTGAAAGGGTTTCCCCCGAACAGTTCGAACCACCCCCCCCTGGAGGCGCAGAGGGGTCCCCCCCGAGTCGAACCCCACCCTGCAATTCAGTGGTAGAGCACCCCCCCAGTTCGACCCCCTAGCGTCCACAAAGAGCGCTCTTTCCAACTAAACGTCATAATCGTCAGCTGCACCATCATCATCGTCGTCGTCATCATCATCATCATCATCATCATCATCATCATCATCATCATCATCATCATCATCATCATCATCATCATCATCATCATCATCATCATCATCAATCATCATCATCATCAGCAGCAGCAGCAGCAGCAGCAGCAGCATCAGCATCATCATCATCATCAGCATCATCATCATCATCAACATCATCATAAACATAAACATGAACATCACTTCCATCGTCAGCAGAATCAACATCGGCACCATCATCATCGTCCTCGTCATCGTCATCACCATCATCACCATCACCACCAACATCACCTTGATCGTCCTCTCATGAGTTTACTCCTCCTCCTGCTCCTCCTCCCTTCGACATCCTGGGAGCCAGGCTCGCGGCAGCAACCCCCCTGGCCGCGGCGGCGGCCCCGGCGCTCCGCGCCTCGCACGCGTCCTCCGGCAGCGGCGCCGCCTTGGACTCGCCTGCGCCCGCGCGAGCGGGACCCTCGATCCGCCTCCACCGCCGCCGTCGCCGCTGCAGCACGAGACCGCTTCGCTGGCCGACCGCTTCGATGATGAGAGCGAAGGGAGAAGGAAAAATGAGGAGGGGGAGGAGGAGGAGGAGGAGGAGCAGGAGGAGGAGGAGGAGGAGGAGGAGGACGACGACGACGACGATGACGACGACGCCGAAGGTGACAGGGACGGCGACGGCGACGGCAACGGCGACGGCGGCGGCGGCGGCGACGGCGACGGCGACGGCGACGGGGATGGCGACGACCCCACGGCCTGTCCTGGGTTGCATTTTGGCCGAAATCTTGACGACGACGACGACGACGACGACCAGAACAAATACGACGACGACAACGACGACGGCGGCGACGGCGGCGGCGGCGACGGCGGCGACGGCGGCGGCGGCGGCGGCGACGGCGACGGCGACGACAGCGACGCCGACCCCACGGCCTGTCCTGGGTTGCGCTCTGGCCAACCAACTGACGACGACGACGACGACGACGACGACGACGACGACGACGACGACGACGACAGCGGCGGCGGCGTCGGCGGCGGCGGCAGCGGCGGCGGCGACGGCGGCGGAGGCAGCGGCGACGCCTGTCTTCGCCGCATCCCTGGGGCCGCGCACCGCGTCCCTGGGGCCGCGCGTTGCCCTCCTCGAGGGCGTGGGCACCTGTAAGGGGGCGAGCATCGGCCCCGCGCCGTTGTCGTCGTCGGCGGCGCCGCCGCCGCCCTTCATTCCTTTTCCTCATGGTCCTGGGTTTATTATGGTCCTCCTCCTCCTCCTCCTCCGCCAACTCCTCCTCCTCCCCCATTCCTTTTCCTTGCAAGTAACTCCTCCCTGTAACACCCCGAGGCACATCGGAAGGGCGGGCCGGGCGTTTCGCCTGAGACTTCCTTACCACGTATGACCCTGAAGCTTACGAACTGACAATAGCTTCACAGATGGAGGGTGGGCCGCATCCCAAATGTGTTTTTCACCGTAACGCCGCGCAAATTCGCTCTTAAAATTGTAAGAGTTCCACGGGTTCAGGCCAGCGGATTTCCCGAAAGATTCTCTCTGTGCCTGAGTGCCGCGCAGATTCGTTTTAAACCTGTTCAAAGGTTTCACGGACTCTGGGTTTTCACCATGTGGCTCTCGTCGTAGCGCCGCGCACATTCGTTGCAAAAAACGCAAGAGGTTCACGGATTCAGGTCGGCTGATTTTCAATATGTGTCTCTCGGCGCCTGAGCGCCGCGCAGATTCGTTTCAAAATATATGCAACAGATTCACGGATTCAAGGCGGCTCCTTTTCAAAATGTGGCTCTCGCCTTAGCGCCGCGCACATCCGTTTTAAACATGATCTAGATGGCTCATCATGGTTAGCGTACCAGACATGATGTTTTGAAGCGATGTTGACTGTCAGGGCACAACAGTTTCGTGGATTCACGGTGTTGAAGTCTCAGGTATGATGTTCGTGCGCAGTTCACGATCGTCAAGACGCAACATGCAAGTTGATTCGTGGCGTTGACGTCCTGAGAATGGTGTTTTGGCACGAGTCCCGATTTGCACACGAGTGTCCCCCAACGGGGCCTATCAAGGGGGAGCGAGGAGGGAAGGTGTATTCCAACATCGTTGACGAGTCTTGGGTTTACACTGGCCCTCACATCATCAGCCTCATCCCCCTTTTTCGCGCACTCCCTCTGCTCCTCCTCCTCATCCACCTCCCCCTCCTTCTGCTCCTCCTCCTCCTCCTCCTCCTCATCATCATCATGATCATCATCATCATCAGCATCATCATCATCATCATCAGTATCATCATCAGCATCATCATCACCATCACCATCACCATCATCAGCATCGTCGTCGTCATCCAGATCCTCTTCCCCACCCTCCTCATTATCGTCGTCATCATCATTCATCATTCATCGTCACCACAAGCCTCATGTTTCAACATGTACATCCTCGTCGCCATGTAGCTTCACCACCTCCCCAACATGTCCGTTCTTATCATACCCCTTCCTACATCATCACATTTCTTCTCCTCCTCCTCATCATCGTAATCATCACCAGCATCAGAAACAGAATCAGCAAGATCATCATCATCATCACCTCCACCATCATTTTCATCGTAGTCAGCATCATCATCATCAGCACCAGCAACATCACCATCATCATCAGCATCATCCGCATCATCATCATCATCATCATCATCATCATCATCATCATCGTCATCGTCATCATCATCGGTACCATCATCAGCAGCATATCCATCGTCATCAGCATCCCTATCATTATACTCATCATCATCAGCGTCATCATCGTCATTATCATCATCATCGTCATCATCATCATCAGTCAAGGAAGAGGGGGAGAAGTGGGGGGCACTGGAAGAAGGCAAGAAGATAAAGAGTACGGTGGGTGCTGGAAGGAACAGGGAGGTCGCGAACATGGAGTTGGACGAGGACGATGGGGAGGAGGAGCAGGCAGCTGGGAGGACAGAGGCAGGAGCCGCGGCACGCCCCGATTGGAGGGCGTCCGCGCCGCCGCGGCCGCGGCCGAGACAGCATCGGACCGCCGCGGGCCCGGCTTGGCGGGGCGACGACGGGATCTGCGCAGATCCACCGCTCCTGGCCAGGCCCCTCCTCCGCCCGGGAATGGCGCACACGGCCCCATGGCTGGGGCAGGGGAGCAAACAGATACAGATATCGACATGTTTGTTGCTGGCGCGCTGCGCGAACACCGCGTTTCCGCGCCCAACGCTGCGAGCGCCGCAGCGAGTGCGTGGCGGAGCGCGGTGGCTGTCGAGCTGCATCTCTTCAAGCACTAGCGGGGTTGGGGGGGGGAAAGGAGAAGGAAGGGGGGGAAGTGGAGAAAACGGGGGAGAAAGAACATATGACATCGGGGTGCCAACGACGGTCAAGTAAGGAATTGTCTGCGGGCGCCATCTCGGATAGCGCGGGCGCGGAGGAGATTCGTAGTATCGATCTCTGCGAAGCGGAGAGCTGGCGGCAGCAATCCCCGAATAGTTTTCCACTATTCAGTTCTTGTTCCGCCCAGTGCAACCGGGGGCGGCCTACCCTCCTGCGCGCCCACTGCATGGGCTGCAGTGTGATGGGGTCATATGTGTGACTCCATGGGCAGGGTGATTCGGTTCAGCTCGGACAATGGCTTGGTAGAGAAACAATTTGTTCCTGGCGAACGCTGCGTTGAACTTCACGATGGACACGCGTTCTCGTCTTCCCTGTCGGAGCGCGTTTTCGGCCGCTTCGTGAACTCATTCATTCGCGTTGGCTCGGTCGACGTACGTTGTATCCAGTTTCAAGATTTTCCGGGGTCCTTTGAACTGAAAGACGTCCAATCGATTCAATGTGCCCTGTGTGAGCTGGGCTGATTCGAGTCTGTGCAGGAGTTGAGATGTGATGACTGCATCTTGCACTTATAATTTGACTTTGCCAGGAAAGCTGCTGTGTCTCCAGAACAGGTCCATGTTGTTCAGCGTGGCCATGCACGCCCCGATTCGTGCTTGTACTTCCCGCGTGATGTCGCATGTTTCGTTCAGACGGCATCCCAGGTATTTTACCTCGTCCATGCGCTTGCCCGTAGAGCCATCAGCAAAATGTATGTCGGGATGGCCATGGGCTGCGACTGCCTCACACTTCCCCTTGTTCAGTTGCATCCCATATCTGTTCATATCTAGCTATTTCGTGTTCGACTGATGTGAAAGAGCGTGTTCTACCGCTGCTGGCGGAAAACGGGGGGGGGTCACTACCGGTTCGAGCCCCTCCCCCCCCCCCCTCCGGAAAACCGGGGGGGGTCGCTACCGGTTCGAACCCCTCCCCCCCCCCCTGGTCATCATGACACGGGGGGGGGGGTCACTACCGGTTCGAACCCACCACACCCCCCCTTCCCCCTCGAAAACCGGGGGGGGGCACTACCGGTTCGAACTCCCCCCCCCTCTCGAAAACCGAAGGGGGGCGCGGACAGTGGCGGGGGCGGCGGTGGCGGGGACAGCGGTGAGGGGACAGCGGGACAGTGGTGGGGACAGTGGGACAGTGGTGGGGACGGTAGTGGTGGGGACAATGGTGAGGACAACGGTGGGAACAGTGGGGACAGCGGGACAGTGGTGGGGGCGGTGGCGGTGGGGACAGCGGTGCGGGGACAGTGGGAATGTGGTGGAAGCAGTAGGACAGTGAAGGGCACAGTGGTGGCGGGGACAGTGGCGAAGGCGGCGGCGAGGACGGCGGTGGGACAGTGGGACAGAGGTACAGCGGGGACAGCGGTGGGGACAGCGGTGGGGACAGCGGGGACAGCGGTGGGAACAGTGGGACACCTCAGTGGTTCGAACCGGCAGTGACCCCCCCCTCCGGTTTTCGAGGGGGGGGGGGGGTTCGAACCGGCAGTGACCCCCGGCTTTCGAGTTCGAGAGGGGGGGGGGTTAGGGGATGGGGGGGGGTTGCCGGGGGAAGGGGGGAGGGGGGGCCCAGCAGGGGGGGAAGGGATTTTCGGAGGGGGGGGGAACCTCGGGCCCCAGAGGAAAAGGGCGGCAATTTTCCATAGTAAAGCGGCGGTGGATCACGCTCTCTCAAACCAACATCCTGTTCGGTGACCCGGTGTCTTTGGAGCCAACAATCGCGTCATCTGCGTAAAAAATGTCATCGAAATTCGCCCCCTGCGCCGTGCCCCGCAATGGTGTTGTCAACGGTCTGGCGGGCATCGTGGAACATGACAGTCATGGAAACCAAGAACAGGCATGGCGATAGGGGGCAGCCCTGCCGGATTTCACAATCCTGCGAGTACCAATCGGATGTCTGTCCGTCGCATTCAACTTTGAAGTTGGGGTCTCGGCACAAAAACTTGATTACGTTTTGCAACTTAGCGGGAACCCCCATCCTGCGCAGAGCCGAAAACCAACCCTTCCGGGCAAGTTTGCCAAAAGCTTTCTCCCAGTCGACTAATTCCAGAGAGACCTGTTGGCCTATGATTTCTGCCTCTTCTGCGGCCCTGCGCGCGCAGCGCATGGCTGCCGAGGTGGACCTTTTTGCTCGAAATCAGAGCTGAGTCCGTTGCATGCGCGGTTCCAAGCCTGCCGCTAATCGCATTTGTCTCAGCGCAGCGTGTTTATTGCACTTTGTATTCAATAAAGAGATCGGCCTGTAGTTGGCTAGATTGCTCGTGTCTCCTCTTGTGAATGTCAGAATTACGCGAGCCCCTAACGCATCTGACGGGGTGCGTCCGCGGCCCCACCATTCGTTCAGAAGGGCCAAGAGCGGGTCCAAGGTGCGCACTGTGAAGTCCTTGAATATCTCCGCGGGACTGCCATCGGGCCCCGGGGCCCTGCGGCGCCTCAGCTTTGTTATTGTTGCTGACAGTTCTTCCTTGCGCAGAGGCCCTAGATCTACGTGAACCCGCGATGCGACGATTAGAGTAGCGCTAAGAACTCCGATTTCGGCAGGCTGGCGCCCCCATTGCCCCGTCGCCAAATGCTCGGCCATTTCTGCAGCCATTAGGTGCCGCGAAATAAGTGCGCCGTCCTTCTTTGTCACAGGGCACGGTTGTGGCCGGCAGTCCTTCTTGAGACTTCTGATTCCCATCCATCCGTCGCGAACATCAAGCTCCTCGCGCACGGTGCTCAGCACATGCTGCCTTCTATCTCCTCGGCGGCTGCTGCGGAATATCTGCGTCAGAGCAGC